ATTCACAGAGCCTTAACTGAGCCCCTGCTAGGCACAAGGTATTATGCTAGGTGCTTTCCTTTAGATTATTGAATTTACATCCAATCCTAGGACAGCATGATCTTTCAGAATGGCTGGAGTAATGGAGTGAGAAAAAATCACTAAGAAAAATCTTCAACGATTACAGGTTATCCTCTGTCCTAAAAGACTAAGAGAACAAGGCTATACTCATCGAATTGAACCAGCCTACTTTAGAGTACAGGTGGCCTGATAAAAGGCATATATTACCTAGAGACCATCTAAAAACTGAATTGGAAACTGAGATGTTTCAGCTAAACATTCTGGAGCCTTAACTGGGAATAAAGAGGCATGGGAGCCTCCTTTACCTGTATCCTGCCTCTTTTCTAACCTTCAAGACAAATCTGGAGCCTATATAGTTGTAGAAATGTCAAAACTTGGACTCAGCTATTTAAAAAGATTTACGTACAACAACCAAATTAGCATAATCTCGGTAAAAATAAGTACTTAATAGTCATACTGACCATTCCCCAAAAACCATTTAGTAATGAGGCTGAATGTGAATTGTCACATTACCTGAGCATAAGAGCAACAGAACAACAGGAAATAGAACATGGCTGTAAAAATAAGGCAGAACAAAGAAGGGAACCCCTTAAATTCAATGCAGGGTGCTCTTTTTACAGTTTTATACTCCTTACAATTTCTGACATCAATGATTTTCAACTGCTACAACACCTGCCCCAGACACCAATGAAGATCACTGTTGTTTAAGCGAGAAATTTTGTGATAGCCTAGAGTTCTAGGCCTACAGGGCCCAGCAGGACAATGTATCTTCTCTCAGGTCACTTCTGCCCTTATGATTTTATTTAAAAGTTCTAAATAATTATTTAATAAATAAATATTTAGGCTGGGTACAGTGGCTCACACCTGTAAACCCAGCATTTTGGAAGGCTGAGGCAGGTGGATCACTTGAACTCAGAAATTTAAGACCAGCCTGGGCAATACGAAAAATATATATGTAGATTTTATATATATATATAAAAGACTATATATATAAAACCATATATATATTTTTTTGTTTGTTTGTTAGAAACAGGGTCTTGTTTCTTCTCTGGATTTTTATTTTGCTGACTTACTCTTATTTCCATTCTAATTAGAGATTTTATGTACATTAACCAAAAAGCATGGCCAAGTGTATATCTATGAGTATTAACTGTGTATGGTGCGCGCGTGCGTGCGTGCGTGCGTGCGTGCGTGTGTGTGTGTGTAGTTAGTTTGGTAGAAACAGGGTCTTGTAGAAACAGGGTCTTGTTGAGTATACAACACACACACACACACACACACACACACACACTCACTCTCTCTTAATACTCATAGATATACAATTGATCATGCATTTTGGTTAATGTACACAAAATCTCTAGAATGGAAATAAGAGAGTAAGTCAGGCCAGGCGCGGTGGCTCAAGCTTGTAATCCCAGCACTTTGGGAGGCCGAGGCGGGTGGATCACGAGGTCGAGAGATCGAGACCATCCTGGTCAACATGGTGAAACCCCGTCTCTACTAAAAATGCAAAAAATTAGCTGGGCATGGTGGCACATGCCTGTAATCCCAGCTACTCAGGAGGCTGAGGCAGGAGAACTGCCTGAACCCAGGAGGCGGAGGTTGCGGTGAGCCGAGATTGTGCCATTGCACTCCAGCCTGGGTAACAAGAGCGAAACTCCATCTCAAAAAAAAAAAAAAAAAAAAAGAGAGTAAGTCAGCAAAATAAAAATCCAGAGAAGAAATATAGCCCATTAATTTAGATGATAACAAGATCACTGTAAATATAATAACAAGGCTTGAATATATCTAAGTCAACTGAAACTCAATTTCATCAAATAACTTCAGAATGTTGGTCTTCCTATGCCAGATACTATCCTAGGGTTAACTAAGAAGACTTAATGCTAACTTTAAGGTAGTGAGTCATATACTGAATCACTTTACTTATAGGAATTTTTCCATTTGCAAAGGGCAATTCCAATCCTTGATTTTATAACTCTTGGCAAAATACACTCTAATACAGTGCTGGAGGGAGTAGAATGGTAATTTAGTAATATATACTAAAATTATGAATGCATAAATCCTCCGATCTGAATCTTCTTTTTTTTTTGAGACGGAGTTTCGCTCTTGTTACCCAGGCTGAAGTGCAATGGCGCGATCTTGGCTCACCGCAACCTTCACCTCCTGGGTTCAGGCAGTTCTCCTGCCTCAGCCTCCTGAGTAGCTGGGATTACAGGCACGTGCCACCATGCCCAGCTAATGAATCTTCTACTTCTAGGAATCTGTCCTAGAGTTAAACTTGAAATTGTGTAAAATGCCATTTTACAGACTAACTTACTACAGCACTATTAATAAAGGCAAATTTTTGAAAACAACCTAAATAATTTGGGGACTGGTTGAAGTGTGATAGTTCCATGCAATAAAACTGCATGCAGCCTTTAAAAAAAAAAAAAAAAAAAGGCACAGAAAGCACTCTGTCCTGATATGACACCCCCCACACACAAATATACTAAGATATAATAGATAAAAAGCCAAGAGCAGGCCAGGTGCAATGGCTCACACCTGTAATCCCAGCACTTTGGGAGGCTGAGGCAGGTGGATCACAAGGTCAAGAGTTTGAGACCAGCCTGACCAACATGGTGAAACCCCATCTCTACTAAAGATATAAAAATTAGCTGGGCATAGTGCCATGGGCCTGTAACCCCAGCTACTCAGGAAGCTGAGGCAGGAGAATCTCTTGAACCTGGGAGGCAGAGGTTGCAGTGGACCAAGATCACGCCATTGCACTCCAGCCTGGGCGACAGAGTGAGACTCCATCTCAAGAAGAAGAAAAGCCAAGAGCATAAGCATGTACAGTATTCTATGATATGCATAAAAAGGGACGGGAAAGGAATAGGTGTATATGTACAGAGATATAATATCTCTAGTACCACAGGCACGTTACTTGCCTAGGAAGTGGGATTTGATGGGTAGGCAATACAAGAAGAAGAAGATTTTTTATTTTTGAATTTTGAGCTACATAAGTGTACTGGTTGGTTAAAACATTAAGTTTAACCAATGTATAACTTGTATAAAAAACACAGTATTTTAAGATTTATATATCCTATTTAGGATTTATACATCCTATAGGATTTTACAATTTATACATCATGATACAATATAATCTCAAAAGATTATATTGTAATTAAATACTACAAATTAGTGTAACAACTTTTGCTATTCCTTCTATTAAAATACTCACCAGTCCATCCTTAAATTTATTATTTTATAGTCACAGAATAGAGAATCAGAAGGATCTCCAAAAAACCCGAACCTCTAAATTTATAGATAAGAAAACTACGGCATTGGCCAGGCCTGATGGCTCATACCTGTAATCCAAGCACTTTGGGAGGCCAAGGCAGACAGATCACTTGAGGTCAGGAGTTTGAGATCAGCCTGGCCAACATGGTGAAACCCCATCTCCACTAAAAATACAAAAATTAGCCAGGGATGGTGGTGCATGCCTGTAATCCCAGCTACTACTCAGGTGGCTAAGGCAGGAGAACTGCTTGAACCCGGGAGGCAGAGTGCACAGTGAGCCAAGATCATACCACTGCACTCCAGCTCGTGTGACAGAGACTCTGTCTCGGGGCGGGGAGAGAGTAAAAACTGTGGCCCAAAGCCAAATAACTTCACCAAAAGGACACAATTAGTAGATGGCAAAGTATGGCCTAGGACCTGATTCCAATTCCAATCTGTTCTCATTTACTTCTTCTACCCCCAAATGGATTCTTAATTACCACAAGGAGCCAGCAGGTATGGGTCAAGATTCCAGTTGTATCTTGAGAGTACTATGAATGACAAGGTCAGTGTGAGCTGATATCCTACTTCTTGTGGAATACTTTTCAACTCACAGAGGAATCAGAGGGGTAAGGTGTTGCTCCTCAACTGGGTTATTTTTTAGCAAAGTGCCAAGAGTACTTAAAGCCATATGTAAACATGGGGTGAGAAGTGGGGCTTTCTACAACGTCGGTAATACTAGAAAATTTGAGAAAAATGTTAAGCAACTTAATCAGGTAATTAAAAAATGTTTTTGTATTCAAACAAACACCAATAGATTGTGGCACTGAATACAGAATATACATGAATATTTAACATAAACTAGACATTTTCAAAGAAGTCTCATGCTGGTTCCAATGAGTCTGATGCAAGGGGCTTAGAAGTACACACGTTCGCTCTCAAACTCTTAGGAGCCAGGAAGGTTTGAGAACTACTATGCCAAGGGAATTAAAATAGCATTCTCCATGGTGGTGGAAAGGGAACAGAGTTAGAGCTACACAGACCTGGACGTGTAGCCTACTCTTGCCACCGTGTGACCTTGGATCAGTTACTTAATCTTGAACTCAGAGCCTCAGTTTCCTCATCTGTAAAATGTGGTCAATATTACTTAGCTTGTGGTTTTGTTACAAGGATTGGAGACAATATATGTAAAGCAAATAGCCTGGACTCTACAAAGACTATAATAAATGATGGTTACTTGGCAGAATGGATGACTTGAGGTCAGGAGTTCACGACCAGCCTGGCCAACCTGATGAAACCCTGTCTCTACTAAAAATACAAAAAATCAGCCAGATGTAGTGGTGCACCCATAGTCCCAGCTACTTGGGAGGCCAAGGCATGAGAATCGCTTGAATCTGGGAGGTGGAGGTTGCCATGAGCTGACACTGCACCACTGCACTCCGGTCTGAAAGACAGGGCAAGATCCTTTTTCCAAAATAAATAAATAAATAAAATAAATAAAAATAAATGATGGCTACTTTAACTATCAGAATCTTTATTTGACTGTCTAGCCATTCATATGGTTTCAATTTGTGAGAACAAGGTAAGGCAGGCAATAGATGTTTATAAGCCCTCCCAACCAGCCACATCAAAGAAACAGGCCGATAGGATAAAATTCCCTAACTGAGCAGTTTTATACTCACATATTTCATTTCAAACTTCTTAGCCAACATTTCCACTTCTTGCCTCTCCCGATGTTCATCATTAAATGGGTCTTCTGTGTGAATGAGCTTCTTCTGATTCAAGGTGAATGGGAAAAGAAACGGAAGTATCCATTAGTATTACAACTAGTATTATTGTTTATTTATTTATTATTATGTAACGACCACTTCAATTATATATCAATAAACATGATCTTAAAGGGAATAAACAATATAGAACATATCTTATATAGCTATGTTATTATTCAGATACTACATCTTAAATTTAATCAATAAGAGACAACTTTTCCTAATATTAAGAAGTAAGTTACAAGGATTAAAACTAAAAAAAGTTGGTTCAGAGCAAAAAATACATGCAGTTGTAATGGACCCATATAAACTCCACAGTGGTTTGACGGCTAAGAACTCAACAATCCAAATTGTCTTCACCTGCAAAATGATCATATGGTCACCTCATTCATATCAAGGAAAAAAAAAATCCCCAGGAACATTAGCTAATTGTGAAAATCTCACTTATAATCCTAATTTGATATCTTCACTAACAAAGATTAACTGCTAGGCCGGGCGTGGTGGCTCAAGCCTGTAATCCCAGCACTTTGGGAGGCCGAGGCGGGTGGATCACGAGGTCAAGAGATCCAGACCATCCTGGTCAACATGGTGAAATCCCGTCTCTACTAAAAATACAAAAAACTAGCTGGGCGTGGTGGCGCGTGCCTGTAATCCCAGCTACTTAGGAGGCTGAGGCAGGAGAATTGCGTGAGCCCAGGAGGCAGAGGTTGCGGTGAGCCAAGATTGCGCCATTGCACTCCAGCCTGGGTAACAAGAGCGAAACTCCGTCTCAAAAAAAAAAAAAAAGATTAACTGCTTTGATCAGGAAATTCTTCTAAAAGGAGCTCTAGATTATTAATTAGAGTCAACAGTTAATCATCTGTCTGTAAGTTAACATTGAGTGTGCATAGCAGCTATCGCTCTCTGTTGAGGTCCAGTATCAACAACCATTATATCACCAATATCCTGTCAATGAAATACACATTACTTTTAAACAAAGCTAGAAAGGTGAAATATCTGCAAAAAGATTACATTAGCATGGCTTTCTTCTAGTAGGAGAGAGTGAAAGTTTATTATAATCCATGATTTAAAACACACACCCAGAGCTAGAAGCCCACATTAGCTATCTATTTATAAAAATAAACAAAAAGAGCAATCACATCCTTAAGTCTTCTATTTTTGTATACAAAAAAAATATATATGGTTTTCAATGCACAAAGATAAAAATACTACTTTTAACCAATTTCAGATGACTATGAAGTTAAAAAAACAAGACTAGATATTTTTATGGAAATAGCATTTTCAGGTAATTAAAAATGAAAGTATACTACAACTGAAATACTGATACAGATTCAGTTGACACTGAAGGGCAAGAAAATGCAGAAAGAAGGAAGATTTGCACTTTGAAATTGAGACACTTCGCCAGGCATGGTGGCTCATGCCTGTAATCCTAGCACTTTGGGAGGCTGAGGCAGGAAAATTGCTTGAACCCAGAGGCAGAAGTTGCAGTGAGCCGAGATCGCGCTATAGCACTCCAGCCTGGTCAAAGAGCGAGACTCCGTCTCAAAAATAAAACATAAAAAAAAGAAAAAGAAAAAGAAAAAAGAAATTGAGACACTTCATCCTGAATTATAAAAGGTTGAGACATGATCAGTCTAAAAATCATGATAGAAAAATGTGGACAGAATGAATACCAAAAAATTCATCACACTTGGGACATTAGAATAAAGCCAGATACTTCTTTAAAGGAGTTATCTTTAGAATCAATTTTTTAAATTATTGTAATAAGTAATAAATTTATAGAATACTTCGCCCCAATACAAGTTACCAATGAAAGGCTGGGCACAGTGGTTCATGCCTGTAATTCCAGCACTTGGGGAGGTCAAAGCAGGTGGATCACCTATAGTCAGAGTTCAAGACCAGGCTGGTCAGCATGGTGAAACCCTGTCTCTACTAAAAATACAAAATTAGCTAGGTGTGGTGGCACATGCCTGTAGTCCCAGCTACTTGGGAGGCTGAAACAGGAGAATGACTTGAATCCGGAAGGTGGAGGTTACAGTAAGCTGAGATCGCGCCACTGCGCTCCAGCCTGGTCGAGACAGAGCAAGACTTGGTCTCCATAAAAAAAAAAAAAAAAAAAAAAAAAAAAAGTTACCAATGAAAAACATAAACATGATCCAAAGGGGAATAAACTATTAAGAATAAACTAACAAGGAATCCTGGGCATGTCAGGGTATAGCCTTAACCAGAGGCCCAGGTTAAGGACAGTGAGCAATCACCACGCCTATTACAAACTGCTCCCCATGTACTGTGAAGCCCAAATACTTATTACAGTATGACCCATTTTATATGTATAAACACATCTATCTATCTATCTATCTATCTATATTTTTTTTTTGAGACGGAGTTTTGCTCTCATTACCCAGGCTGGAGTGCAATGGCGCGATCTCGGCTCACCGCAACCTCCACCTCCTGGGTTCAGGCAATTCTCCTGCCTCAGCCTCCTGAGTAGCTGGGATTACAGGCACGCGCCACCATGCCCAGCTAATTTTTTGTATTTTTAGTAGAGACGGGGTTTCACCATGTTGACCAGGATGGTCTCGATCTCTTGACCTCGTGATCCACCCGCCTCGGCCTCCCAAAGTGTTAGGATTACAGGCGTGAGCCACCGCGCCCGGCCCAATCCATATTTTTAATAAGAATCACTTTATATGCCATCCTAAAATACTTTATGTAGGTATCAAAAGTACAGCTCCTATTTTCTCCTGACAGCCTACAAAAACAAATTTAAGAAAATTGACTCACTTTTCTTTTACAGTTAAGAAAAAACACCCTCCCGCAATCAAGACTAAGCTTTTTTGTTTTTTCAGGTAAAAAAAAAAAATCTGAAAAGTATCAACTACCCACATACAAAACTGATGCAGTAATTTTGTCCTTTGATCTTAACTCATCAACACCATTTTCAAGAAAAATGCAAAACATGCGAACAACGAATTACCATGGAATTCTCAAATAGTATAGTTATATTAACACACTATAATCACTTATTTTTCTTTTTACAGTAAACGTTCATTTAATCATGTTCACAAATGAGTGTTCTGGTTCACTGATCTTTCTGGTTTACTAAGAGGTAAACCTTTTCTTGTGTATCCATCATTGCCAAAATTTATTTCTAAAATGCACTACTACCCTTTAGCCAGAAATGGTGACCAAATTAATCTTTCAGGATAGAGATGACTCCTATGCCTATCATCACCCTAAACAATCTCAATCACAGCACTGTACTGCATAGAGACACTATGATTAAAGGTTTGGCTGACCTGTAGTTTTGTTTTTCATATTTTCCCAGCACAAACTTACTTAATTGTGGTTTCTTCATTAGTAAAAAGAGAGCACAGAAAAATTTGATTGTATTTCAGTAAATCAGGGTTTTACTGTTCATTTAGTATTTACATGCACCTTAATATGAAAAGTATCCAATATGTAACCCATCTTTTTATTTTTTTTTTAATAGCCCCACATCTACCAATTTCAGCATCTGGAGCTAAAATCTTATTTTGTGTTAGATGGCTATTTCAAAAATTTAGAGCTCTTTCTCTTTTAATTCTTCTAATTTTGGGAACCATCAACTTTCCGGACCAATTCTAATGTTTGCATTTTGCTTTTTGATGGTCTCTCTTCTAGGATTTCCTTTCATGAAACCATGGCAATTTTACTTAAACATATGTTTTCTATGCTTTCTAGCGTAACAAGGGTACTCACTGGCAGCAATCATAGAAAAATGTGGCAAATCTTTGTTGCAAAGGTGATTATATACAATGGATTTTGTTTCGTTCAGAGTAATATGAAAAAGCATGTAAGGTTGATATACAATGAGAAAATTGGGCCAATAGACAGCTACACTGTTTAAATAGAGTAAATGGAAAAATTGAATGGAATTATTCCTCTTTCTCCTATTACATGAAAACAGTAGTTCCGGTGTTAACAAGTCAGCAAAACTAGGGTGTCAAAATGAACTTTTTTCTTTTTTATAATTAAATGATACACATCTATTATTAATTTGTAATTGTGATTACAGCATACACAGGGACATAATAAAGGTCTTTGTATGTCTGCTATGACTTAAATTTTACTTCATTTTGGCAGAATCTTCTAAACTATATGAGTCAATTCTAAGAAATTTTGTTTTTGTACGAAATTGCATCACTACGGAAAGAAGTACTAATAAAATTACATACATTTGTAAAGAGAGGATAATAGTTTTTACCTTACGGAGTTCTGCTGGACTACTAGAAAAACGATGTGCAGTGCTTAGAACTGTGTCTAGCACACAGTAAGAACTCAGTAAATGCAGTTATTGCCATGTATTTTTACCGAAAGATAAAGTTTTCACCGTCAATTTGTGAAAATTACAAAAACTGCAAACCAATTTAGATTAGCAGCTTAAATACAATTTGTTTGAAAAATGCTCCAATCCAATATTTTTAATACTCTTTTGGGGAAATGAGTGACATCACATTTATAAAGAAGAGGGGGCAATCAAATGAGTCTAAAGAGCAAAATGTGACATGGAAGTGACCAAAATGATCTCTACCCTTAAACAATTCATTTTGGTTGAAGACATTTTGTAATGATTTGACCACACAACATTTCTAAATAATGATCAAAACATTAGCTGGCCATGAATTAAATGAAATGAAATCTAATTGTTCAACATGATACTTCGTGACTAAGTGGTCAGTCATTTTGACCATAAAGGTAGCTGAAGATTAAAACAGAACAAGTGACTTCAGGAGTCCATTAGACCCAAGCTAAAGCAAAAACCTAATAACAGGCATAATTGCTAAGCAACAGAGGAAACTGTTTTCTTTCTTTACTGTTAATCTACCGTTTCCCTTTCTAACTTACTTCCGAAGATCCACCAACCCACAACAATAAAAATTACAATTACCAGCATAATCCCTACCCTCTATTGTTCACCACTTACATCAAAAGCCTGCCTATATATTTTCAATAAACTTTTAAAAATTCAAAGCTGAGTTTTTTTCATCATTCTCCGAAAATTACAAAGGCTGAGTACAATATTCTTCTATAAACTCATGATAATACACTTAAATAATATGACGGGCAGGTGTCAAATAAAACAAGAGACACCTTCCCATTCAATTACAATATGAAAGAACTCCACAAAAAGGAAAGCTAAAAAGGTTTACCAATACCAACGAGAGAGAAAAATTAGTAACCAGATTAACTAACCCACTTCTCTATTTCTAAGGTGGAATCCTCAGTCTCTGAAAACCTTTAATTATTCTTAAATTCCTTCGATTAAGAAAAATATCACAGGCACGCAAGCACACCTCAGCAGCCACGGCGCCCAGCAAAACAAACAGTGATGAGGATGAGGATGATACGAGAGGGGTTACACAATCTCTCTGCTTCAGACTGGGGGGCGTGTCCCCCAAGGTTTTCTCTTCCTTTCTACTGGAACCACAGCTGTAGCGCCACAGGGAGAACCCAGCCACACGGCCTGCAGGGCCCCAGGATTTTGTGTGGGGAGCAGAAAGGAAAAAAGGAAAATCTGAGGTTCCGAAAGGTGCACAAGAAAACAGGCTCCGCGCGGCGTTGGGAGCGAGTGTCGGGGGTCTGGGGATTCGGCGCAGCCGGGCGAGAGCCTCGGCCACCGCTGGGGTGGAGAAAGCAGCGCTCACAGCCCCGTCCACCCCTCCGCCCCAGCGCCCCGCACCCCACCCTCGGGGCGACCCGGACGCGCTCGGTGGGCGTCCCAAGGTGCAAACCAGCTGGGGAAGGCGGCGGGTCCTGAGGCTCCCGGGGTCTGGGGCAGGAGGGAGGAATCTTCTGTACCCGTTGTTCTCCGCACAGCAGCAGCTCCGGGTAACTGAACTCCACGCAGCTCTCGTCGGTGGGGTCCTTGAGCACCAGCTCGAGGCGCACAGTCTCTCTCGGCGGCCGCGGCGGCAGCTCAGCCCGGGAAGCCGACTCCCGCGGCGGGGGCGGCTGCAAGGGCAGCGGTGGGAGCGGCGGCGGCGGCTCGGGCCGCGGGGGCTCCCGCTGCAGCGACATGGGCGGCTCGGCGCGGCTGACCTCGCGCTGGGGGAGCGGCTTCTCCCGCGGCGGGGGCTGCGCGTCGGAGCGGGGGGCAGGCTCCCGCGGGGCCGGCGGCTCCGCCCGGGCCGGCTCGCGGTACGGCTGCGGCTCCAGCCGGGGGGGCTCGCGGGGGTACTCGGGCTCGCGCTCCGGCCCCGGGTACTCGGCCTCGCGCCGCCGCACCGGTGACAAGCTAATGAACGCTACCCTGCGCGGCTCCGCCATCCCCACTGTTCTGGCCCTCTGCTTTCGCTCGAGCCGGCGCTCGCCTCTACGCCGCGCTGCGTGCCTCCCCGCCCTTCCTCTTGCTCTCCGTCGCTTTTCTTCCCTCCACCACCCTCAGCCGTCTCCGCCGACGCCACGGTGAGTGCGGACCGTGCCCCCTTCCCCGCTACTACGTTCTGATGGGATTCACCGCCATCGCCAGGGTCGCCGCAGCCGCCATGTTGGATCCCCCACATAAATAGAAGCAGGCCGCTGAGCGGGCGCATGCGCACAGAGGAGACGCTCGCGTCCACTGTCGTGGCTGTTGCTCAGTTTTCCTCTTTTCCTCCCAACAGTCTGGAGTCCAGACAGGTCGGCGGAAGTGACGACATGGCTCGGCCTGTTTCCTTGGAAACGGAGACGCCGTCTGCACCCTTCCTCAAAGGGAGAGTTCTGGGGTTTCCCGAGTAGCTTCCTATTCGCACCCGGAAACCAGAGGCGCTCCTGGAGCTTCCCGGGACGAGCGTCGGGATGCGCCTGAGACCGACCTAGTCATGGCGCGGGGTCTCCCGCGCTTGGTTCAAGGGAGTTGGGGTTGTCAGCTGATTATTCAAAGCGGACCCTGGGCAGGGGTAGAAGGGACGCGCTGGCCGTCGTGTCTGCCCGCCTAGTGTCCCCGTAGCCTTAAATATCCAGGGAAGAAAGGAAGTGCCCAGCTTCAGTCCGACTACCCCCAGCGGCTTCCCTCCCGAAAGCGCAGGCCTCCGCTTCTTAGAACTACTCTGGTTTCCCTCGCCCGGCCGCAGTGAGAGTTGCGTGGGGGCAGGGTCATTAAATGTTCAATAACGCTTTGCAGTTGGAAAATTAACAGGCAGATGAAGAGTTCTAGGTTCATCCATAAGACCAAAACTGTTGAAATCAGTAGAAAACGTCTTGAGAGTTTGGTGGTATTTTAGGAAACATACTTATGAAAGAATGTTAAAGGACACATTTCAGGATGGGGAAGGGATTGGGCACGCCCTGGTAGGCTCACTTGTAATTACTTAATTGAAAGTTGGGTTTAAAAGGAATGAGAATTATTGGCCACTTTAATCCATTGAATAAAAAGTAAATCTGAGGGCTGGCCCTCCATATCCTGAAGGGAATCCAAGCCTTCTGTTAATTGCATTAACTGGATTAACTTATTATTATTATTATTTATTATTATTATTATTATTATTTGGTATACTCTTGTTGCCCAGGCTGGAGTGCAATGGCAGGATCTCGACTCAGTGCAACTTCCACGTTCCAGGTTCAAGTGATTCTCCTGCGTCAGCCTCCCAAGTACCTGGGATTACAGGGGCCCGCCGCCACACCCGGCTAATTTTTGTATTTTTAGTGGAGACGGGGTTTCATCGTGTTGGCCAAGCTGATCTCAAACCCCCGACCTCAGGTGATCCATCCACCTCAGCCTCCCAAAGTGCTGGGATTACAGGCATGAACCACCGCGTCCGCCCTGCTTGGATTAACTACTGAGAGTTCATTAAGTCACTGTGACGTCATAGACAAATTCTGAGCGGGTTCCGTTTTTTCCTCCCTGTTACTTTCCCTGCTTGGACTAATACGGTGATGAAATCTGTGATTCCAAAGGTCTCTCCCAGCTCTAAAACCCTATCTTTTCTCCTCGGCACCATGTTTTACTTCCATTATCTCCTTCCCTGTTGCTCCTTTTCTGATTCCAAATTCAGGTCTCATTTTTAGATTGTCTTAGTGATACTTAAATGACCTTTCTGCCTTCAGTCTCTATTCCTGTCAGTCTTGAGATGGGATCATATTAATGTCTCTAAAAGAGTTTTTATTATATCGTTATCTGTCCTGGCTGCAACTTACCTACAAACTGAGTTTTATGTATGTATACTGATATTCAATCTCCACAATTTAGCTCAGAGACTGCAAACTGGTGGTGTGCACCTTCTTCTACAGGTATGTTACTTATCCAACATTATCTTCTAACTTGTAACCCACTGAGTTTTCCAGTGTTTTGATTCACAACCCACAGTAAGAAATTTTATATTGTAACCCAGAGTGTACACCCATATATACATAACACATATGTGCATATCTGAAACGTAAGTTTCATAATACTTATCTACTGCTCAGGATAAACTAAAAGCAACAGAGCTAATTTAATATAAAAATATTTTATAATACAGTGTAGAAAAATGTTAATATAAATTATATAGAAGCAAATTAGGAAAGATTTATTTAATGCCGGGGAAGTTCTTGCCTGTTCATAGGTCTATTCCACTCCAGAATTCATGAGGACAGTGGTACAGAAACATCTGGTCCACTGTGGTGCCTGATCTTTTTCTCTTCTAAACTGATCAAAATTGAAAACCCTAGTTCACATATATAGGCAGTCATGAATAGTAATAATATGTATCCATGTTCTGTATAGCAATGAATTCTTCTTTAATCTTCGTCCAACATCATGATAAATTTCATATCTGACAATCACTTTTCTGTGTAAAGGAAGTACTAAGCTGTAATAATTTATTCTCTTCATAAAATTACAAGTTTAGGCCGGGCATGGTGGCTCATGCCTGTAATCCCAGCACTTTGGGAGGCCAAGGCAGGTGGATCACCTGAGGTCAAGAGTTTGAGACCAGCCTGACCAATATGGTGAAACCCAGTCTCTACTAAAATTACAAAAATTAGCCGGGCATTGTGGCATGTGCCTGTAGTCCCAGCTACTCAGGAGACTAAGATAGGAGAATTGCTTGAACCCCAAGAGGCGGAGGTTGCAGTGACCGGAGATCATGCCACTGCACTCCAGCCTGAGTGACAAATCGAGACTGTCTCAAAAAAAAAAAAAAAAAAAAAAAAGAAAAAACAAGTTTAATGAAATTAATTATTTAAATCAATAAAAATGATCTGGTTCACCCTATTAACTGCCCAACAAACTGTTTGAAAAACTATGTATTCTTTGTTAAGGGGCAGATTACAGGAAATGTTTTCCATGTTCTTATTTTAAAAAACAAGATTCTGATGTCATGAACCTAAATCAAAATTCACAAATGATGGCTGAAATCCTGTCAGATTTTCAGCCCAGTACAACATAAATCCATAGTTATTGTGCATAAACAATTCAAAATTAGTTTATAAAGGAAGTATCAACAAGTCATATAACCACGACACATTACTGATGGGTTCCACCATACTTCAACAAGGCACAGCAGATGTAAACATCTGATAGACTGCTCAGAAAATTAAAGCTATTAGAGCTATAAATAAGGAATGCAAACATAGCAATGCCAATACGTTAGTGCCATTTAAGAAAGTGAATAAGATGCAATGTAAACACACCTGATAGTTCCCCTATAAACCACTTTCCCGCTGATTTATAAAGCTATGTTTCAAAAATTCTTTTAAAAAGGACAATTTTTCTACACTGCTGCATGTAGTAATTTCATTGTACATTCTTGATTACAAGAACAGTCTTCAAATCCTCTTGCAGAGCTTGACATACCAGGATTTCTCCAGCAAGTTAGCTGGTCATATTTTCAGCAGCCTTTAGTGCTTTGGTAGTCTTTCGAAGCTCCTTAATAACCGGTGATATTTATTTCCTTGGTTATTAATTAGTTCTGGGTCAAGTCCTTGTTCGCAGAGTTGTACACAAATAGCCAGAGTTTCCAGTAAGCCAGTACTTAGAATCTCAAGCAGAACATCCACGATCTCCCTCACCTCTGATTCACTGCTACCGCCCCGATGGTGCTACTACTTGTCATCATGGCAGACAAGGGACCTATTTTAAAATTCTAAACATACTTTTCTCTATAGAGCCAATAATTTCTCTATAAAATTATCTTGCTACACATTCTGGCATAAAAATATTATGCAACTTTCAGTATGAGTGCTCTCAGCAAGTTGGACTGTTACTACATCATAGTCGTTGCTGTAAATATTCTGTGGTAGGTAATGCGCTGCTACTGTGTTTTTGCCAGGAAGTATAGTTTTTCATTTATCAGCTGATTTGTCACCAAAAGCATATGCATCAATACTGGATGAAGTTTTCAGCACTTACTATGATCCATATTTCTTTTGCACACTGATTGTCTTTTTCCTTACGATTTGTGGAACAGCTCTCTGAGTTTGGACCTAGTTTGCCACAACATGACTAAACCAAGAAGTTGGAATCGTGCGTAAATACGGGAACCACTGTGGTGCTTCTCTCCAGAAAATGGTGAAGATTGCAATCAGCCAGCACGCCAAGTACATTTGCTCTTTCTGTGGCAAAATCAAGATGAAGAGACGAGCTATGGGGATATGGTGCTGTGGTTCCTGCGTGAAGACAGTAACAGTGCCTTCATGCAGGAGGCTCATCGTCTGGACCTACAATACCACTTCTGTAGTCACGGTAAAGTCCACCATCCGAAGCTTGAAGCCACTGAAAGACCAGCAGACGCTCCTGTACTCTTTGAGACATTGCTGGCCTATAATAAACGAGTTAATTTACATAACCAAAAAAATTAAAAGATTTGTGGAACAACTGAGAAATTGTGCCAATAACTCTACCTGCCCCCCTGCCCCTTTTTTTGTAATGGAGTTTCGCTCTTGTCACCCAGGCTGGAGTGCAGTGGCGTAATCGTGGCTCACCGCAACCTCCACCTCCTGGTTCTAGCGATTCTCTGGCCTCAGCCTCCCAAGTAGCTGAGATTACAGGCATGCGCCCCCACGCCCGGCTAATTTTATATTATTAGTAGAGACTGGGTTTCTCCATGTTGATCAGGTGATCTGCCTGTGTCTGCCCGACTTCAGGCGATCTGCACTGCCCAGCCACCCAAAGTGCTGGGATTACAGATGTGAGCCACTGTGTCCAGCCTCAGATGTTCTTTTAATTTTGAAGGTATTAAGCTTTCATTTGCAGGAAACGTGTTGTTTTCTTTTTAGAACAAGAGGTAAAGTCAGTGTTTGATGATAGAGTTAACATTTTCTCAGTATTACCACTATAATTCCAGACCCAGCAGCTAAATTGGAATATGTTTCTGTATTTTTCACTTTCTTATTCCTTCTTTTCTCATAATACAACAGTCTCTCTGAGAGCAGTTAATACTAGTTTGATTAATATATCATAGTTCACACACACATGTCATATTGATGGTGTTTTCCCAAAAATATAAAGTTCTTCAATGGAACCCAGTTGAAGATTCTGAGGGTTTCTTAAATCATTGAATGATTTTCTCCTGTACTTCCTTCCATAAGTCACGGGCAGTTGTGATAATATAAAATCAGGCTGAACAATGTTATTCATCCAACAAAGGAACTTAGGAGTCCCAGTGAGGTCTCAGTGCCTG